ACTACTACTACTACTAACACCACCACCACCACCACCACCACCACGACGACGACGACGACTACTACTACTACTGATACTATAATCAAAGCGAAAATCATTATCAATATTACTGTTGGGGTTGCTTACTTATTGTAGTTACACTATAGGACCCCGAAACCCTATTCTAATTATTAAGGCCCCTACATTACCACCATCCGGTGGTCCATGGTGGTCCTGTCAGGCCCCTTCCAGCCGCTCTGGTCGGCTTTCGCGCCGACCCTGGGCCTAACCGAGCCTGGGCGTGTTCAGCAATGGTGCCTTAGTAATTAGAACCGGGTTCCTTTAAAGGGTTCTTTAAAAGGGATACGATAAGGGTTCGATAATATAGGGGTGACTAACTAGAATAGGGTTTTGGGGGTCTATTATGCTACAGTTATAATAAGGAACCCCCAAAACCCTATTCTACTTATTGAGACCCCTATATCAATGGGGCCTGACTAGTTCGCAATGTAGACCCTGCTTGATAAAACCAAGTTTTTAGGGCTTAGGATTATAGGGTTAAGGGTTAATTGCTTCCTTTACAATGTCACCTACCAGAACAAGGATTATACTACCTTCACCTACCAAAACCCACTTTTTTGTAGGTTCTTATTATAAACCCGAATATGGGATTTAGAGGGACCATGCAGAAAAGTAGGTTCTGGTAGTTCAAGGTAGGTACTGTCTGCAAAGGTGTTCAGCAACTAGGGCTGTAGAAAAGTAGCCGCTTGTAGACCATAGCTAATACACTTCGGTTGAGTAATTCGTGAGGCAGTGCAGGATTTTGTGTCCACCAACGGGTCATAAGCAACCAGGACAATTCGGCAACATGATTTTCCCCTTCTATAAACTCCGGCTGAACTACAAAATTTACCCCCTAACCTATTTTTGCAACGCTGAGGGTAGGGGTTACTGTTGTAGGGTGTGAGGTTCTGAGGTTTGAGGTTACGGGCTCGGAGTTTAGGGCTGCAGGCCTTTGACTTAGAGGTTTCGGGTTTCAGGATGTAGAGTTTACTGTAACCCCGAATAACCTACCTTTTGAAGGACTTAGATCAAAGAAGTCAGAATAGGGAACCCTAAAAAGGTAGATTCCTTAGGGTCCAGGTAGGGTTTGCAAGTGTTACGGTCACTGGTGCTGCACGATACCTCGACCTGGCGCGGGTGCTTCCGCTCCCCCGAAATCTGCCCCCGGACAAGGATGAACATCAGTAGTTTGGTTCGTCGCAAAGAACGGGCATTCTGCAGTTAATCAGGCGTCTACACTTCAACGCCCAAATCCTCGCAAGTCGACACTACCGAACTAAAGCTGAAATCATGTTGAGGATCCTTCTGCGGCTTGTAAGGTATATTCAACATGTAGTGGGAACACCAGAACGACCAGGTCTTTTTGGCCATGCTTCCGACTGCACCTGGGCAGATCCCGACACCTGGAACCCTAAAGTTCGCCCGGCTTGTCCGAGTTGTGACAGTGTAAAGCCTAAACTTCATTCAAATGCAGAGAGGGGTAGTAGACTTCTGTGGGTTCCTTGTAGAATCCCTGAGAGGTTTTACAGGGCTGGTGTCGCATTTATATAGCCTTTCTGTTCCTTGCCAAATCCGATTACCTCGGGTTCCATTTAGGGCACCCTAGTTTCTTTAACTCGTCGCGGCCTCTCTATCTAAACCCACCGGTGGGCAAGAAAAGGAGGAGGAATGTTCAGGGCCTCACGCGCAGGATGTAGGGTTTAAGCAGCAAGGGCTTCAAGCAAAAAGGGGCCCCGTTCTGAGTGTCCAGAACAGCACAGTAGAGCACAGACAAGTACAGAATAGGGCTTGTACAAGTACAGGGATACCACCACCACCACCACCGCCACCACCACCACCACCACCACGACTACTACTACTACTACTACTACTACTACTACTAAGACTACTGCTGCTACTACTACTACT